GAAAACGTGCCTACATAGATTGATATTACATTAGTATTTTTTAATTCTAAACGACACAGTTCCGCTTACTTTTGAAACGTGCCTGGCTGAGACGTTACGTATAGCCCTTACATTAAAACGACACACTTTTGCCTAATTTTCTGTCTGAGATGTTAAATATATAGATGGCATGATTGATCAATTTTTTGACGCGTGCACCGATTTATTGACAAACGCTTTGTGTTGTTATTATTATCTCTATCTCGCGTCTTTTTGAGGTTGACTTACTATTGTCAACGGCTGTGCCGGTTCTCAGCCATGTTCTATAACATTAGGTGAGTATATCATAAGTCCAGCACAGCATAGATGTTGATAACGATCATACCCTCAAAAGCCTTTTTATAATAGAAATGACGGGTGTGGTAACGACGAGTTTTTGCGAAAGGTAAACTTAAATGCAGGTTCTACCTATTTATTTGAAAAATTCTCAAGTTTCTTGTTCCTCCCTTTGCAAGTTGAACGCGGACGTGACTTCGAACACCCAGAATTTGTTGACTTGAAAGATGCGTATAGTATGGGTAGTGGATTACAGATTCTGCTGACCTTTGGGATTTAACTTTTTTCTTGTGATACCGCAACTTACTGATTCTTTTAAAGCTAGTTGATAGCCACCGGAATATCCCCATGGAGGTAGACTTCGAGAGTTTTAATTCACGACGATGAGTTATGCCCCTTATTACACGTAAGAGCATGCCATGTTAAGACTTTTTTTGTAATATTGTTATTAATTTTTGAAGTGGTTGGATAAAATTTTCAACAGTGATTTATTCAATTACAGAGAAAGTTGAAAAACTTGAGAAGACAAATAGAACACAGTATGTATACATTATATTAATATTTGTTATTTCAATAAAGGGAAGGGCCAAAACAATGTAATTGCTAATGTCTATTTCAAGTTAATTGACGGATCTCTTATGACTTTTCCTCCCTGTTATTGGAGTGCCCATACAAATGGTCATCGGAACTCTTATGACAGATAAATACTATAAATAACAATAGGGCAAATTTCTATAATTCTGTCTAAAACGGTATAAATTGTGGTTGACATTGATATCAATATTAATGCTTATTTTAATAAAATTTTTGCAATTTCTAATATATTGAGATAACATTAGTGCTTTTAATTCAAAAACAAACCATTTTTGTCTAATTTGAAAACATGCCTGGTTGAAAATTTACATATGTAGAGATAATATTAATATCAGTGTTTTCTAATCCCAAAATGACACATTTCCGCTTAATATTAATTTTGAAAATGTACCTGGTTGACATGTTACATATATTGAGATTACATTAGTATTTTTTAATTCAAAACGACACATTTCCGCTTAATATTAATTTTGAAAATGTATCTGGTTGACATGTTACATATATTGAGATTAAATTGGTATTTTTTAATTCAAAACGACACATTTCCGCTTAATTTTGAAAATGTGCCTGGCTGAGATGTGACATAGATTGAGATTACAATAGTATTTTTTTTAATTCAAAATGACACATTTCTGCCTAATACTAATTTTCTGTCTGAAATGTTACATATTAATATATATAGTACTCAGGGGAAATTGAAAAGTGTAATGCGTAATTATGCAATATGGATTTCAGTAAGATGGCATCCTTAATTGAGGCTGAAATTGTTTATTTCTACCTGTGTCACGAATTTTTACCATATTAACTGCATCAGGACCTAATACTTTATGATAAACACTGAAATCAATGGCTTCATTATTATTATAAACTTGTCAAAGAATTCCGGAATTTGAGCATTGGCTCAAGTTAAATGGTTTTCTTTACAAGGAAGTATATTTACTCCCTTAATTAATTGTAATTGTAAACGGTTGAATAAATAGACATTTGGGAAAGAGGATAATAATAGTGTCAAAGAAACGATTTATAATAGTAATAATTTGTTATATTAACGATAAACCTATTAATGTAAGTTTTGTGGTAATAAAAAAAAGAAACAATTTATTGAGAAAGCAAGGAATAAATTGAGTCAAAAATAAACAAACTTAATCAGAAGAAGAACATATTAATCTGGTGACTGAAGAAATAAAGAACTGTTGCTGAAGGTACTAATACTAAGAAAATTTACAAAAGTAGATCTATCACCTTCTTATTATCTTAAAATTTTCATTTGTACTGTATGTATTATTCCACAATTCCAAGCCAATACCATTACACATTAGACTTCTGGCTCATTATCATTATTGAAATAACCGCTACCTACAATCATAATTTGGGGCAGACTGCAACAAAACCGGACAAAGTGAACATTCTGTTATGTGACATAAATGTGACTGAAAGTTAACTAATTTGACTAATAGCATTTTGAAAGTAATAATGATGCTCATTCATAACTGATGGACTTGTTAATTTTAATCCCTTTATCATACCAGAACGTGATGAATATAAACTGTAACAGGATTAATATAGGACTATCCCTATATAAAAATACTAATATAAAACTAATTTACATCAAATCTATCATGAAACCCAAGAATTACAGCCTATTCGAAGCATTCTAAAAAAAGCTCGAGGAGAGAAATTGCTCCATACATTTTTAAAATCAATAATACCCAAACTTTCCAGGAATATCTAGATCAAGAAAAAATCACTTACGAAATTTATCAAGAGAAAAGGAAAATCATAACTAATAAACGAGCATTAAAACCAACACATGATGAACCAAGAAAGAAACGAAAACTTGAAGAAGGGTAAAGGGGTTAAGCAGTTTAACGTAATAGTAAAAGGCCTCTACTGATCAGACGACCTATTCTTCTTTCCAGTTGGATTCAAGTCAGGAGACTGACTTGGGCCAATCTGGCAAGACTTTGATTTCTTCATTATAATCCATTTTTTAACATATTCAGCAGTATGGACTGGACTGGAGCATTTATAATTCAGCCTTGGCATCAGCCAATTTATTTTCCATCTTATACATACCCTCTGCTATTAAATTCATCCTCTGTCAAAGGTAATAAATGCTTTTCAAGCATTTATTTGTAGTCAAATATATTCATTTACCATCTACTTTTACTAATAATCCCAATCTTTTACCAGAAAAGCAATCATATCACTATTCCTTCACTGCCAAATTTTATTAAATCTGGCACCAGGAGTTCTCCAAACACGACCTTGACCATTATTTAAAATTTGCTTCCATCACTCCACATGACAGGTCGTTATTTTCGAACAAGCCAATATCTCCTTTCAATGCACCATTTCAGGCGTTATTCTCGTTCAGGAGAGGTTTGCGAGCTGGTAATGAGAAAAAAAAAAGCATTTCGTACAATTTATTCTAATAGTTTTTGTGGAAACTCCAATCAACAGCTAGCACAGCACTTTTACAAGTGGTTTGACTTTCCGCTAGATTCATATGTTTCCCATTTCACATTTACAGTACATAACAGGGTGGTTTACATATTTCGAAACACTCAATCGATATTTTCTTTGGTAATTTATTCGATATTAGCATAACCACTAATCCATACATCGTTAACTTCTTGTCCTGCAAATATTCTCATGGCTATTCGCTTAAGCATAAACGCGTTTAGATAGTTAGAATTAGCCCCAACGCAATAGGAAAGGTATGGTCGAATTACTAGAGGACGAATAATTATGCAATCTAAGGATTAATATTAATGTCTACGATCGACACTCGGCTATGAGTAGTTTGAAAGGTCACTAACTGCCGTCTGTATTTAACTAAGCATGAGAAGTCTGAATTCCAGGGTCGACAATCAATCACTCTTCTGTGATTGCTTACTAGACAAAACATTACATAATAATGATACATACTCGTATTGTCATTCGATTCTATCAACCAAATTTAACCTGCAGTAATAGTAACCCAAACTGTAATTTCTAATGTGTACGCTCTTCAGATCAAAACTACTCAATAGACTTGTCAGTAGTCATAAATCTCCAGCCAAGAAAATACATCTTACTCCATTTGCAAAACGACATATTTTTTGTTTTGGTATATACGCTAAATCAGTTTTAGCATATACTCATTTAAACTGCTACAAGAACACATTCAGTATCTAAGCGCTTTTTTATCGTCAAGACGGAATGTATGTATTGTTAATTAAAACGAAAATCGGATTAAAATGAAATTAGAGTTCTTTTTAAATTTTTCACATAATAATAAAAATGGATTTAATACGATTCCGATTAATCCGTTCACGTGGATGTGATTGATACATGTGGGGGGGGGGGGGTTTCTTGCAGGCAACGTGATACGTATAAGACTACAATTATATTTATCACCAACCAATGATCGATAAAGTTGAAGCACATTCCCATTCAACAAAGAAAGTTTATTCTATTTCGTTTAACGTATTTATTTTTATATTATACAATAACTGCTTAGAAGCAGTAAACTTATACAATAAATACAGCAGCAAAGAATGAGCCAAACACGAAATTGTTATAGTGGATTCGACAGCCATGCCGGTCTATAGTGGCCCGTATCACGTTTCCTTTACTTTCTGGTACGAGTTTCTCTTCATTGACGCAAGGAGCGATTTAATCCCTGGCCGTTGTGATTTGCTATTTGGATTGTTATTCTCAAGTAGAGACTGTTCCTCTTCAGATGAAGAATCTTCGGCATTCTATAAGTAAAAGACGAGTTAAACGTAAGTAATGTGTACAATCTGTCGTCACTCATTGTTAATAACTCGCACTATACTGTTACTGCTGCTGCTGCTGCTACAAAAATAACGTATTGCTCACCCTTTCTGACTCAGTATCATATTCGTATTCTGATTCTTCATGGCTCAATGTGGTATTTTCATCAACCAGTTTCTGATAACAACAAATAAGAAACGCTTTAGTAAATCTAAGCTGATCCATTAATATTATATACTGCCCAGGCATCTCCCAGCGATACTCACGGTCATTTTGGAAGCAAATGGATATTAGAAGATGAGGAGTAATAATTTAAGGGAAATTTGTAATTATATGCACTCTTCGTTTTATTTATATTTACAAGTCAGCCCGGATGGAATAAGCAAGACCAGAAGCTTAATTTGTGTCGGTTAGAACTTTGTGTGTCCACTATTCTTATTATTTCGTGCGCTGCTGTATTGTAACTTAACCAAACCAGTTGGTTAGGGGGAGAGCGGTCAACTGTTATTACTTGGTGGCCAGGAATAGAAAGCTAGCAGGGATTTAAAGGGGTGTTCTCACTCCTATTTATATTGACATGGTAATGTGTAACGAACTATAATCTAATAATAGATTAAGCTGCACAAGGCTGATTATTAAATATATTTAGATCATAAAGAGTTTTATAAACAATCCAAAGTGCATAATACGGAGAAGTCTTTGTCATATCTATTTACGGCCAATAATTTTCAAGTAACTATTTTCGGTAAAGAAACTTTCGCATATTCTTATTATCTATTATTTGATTGTTTAAAACGATTAAAACGAAATCGGCTTTATTTGGGTTGGGTAACTTTGGTTAATAGAAGACTATACATATTAATATGGGTCTCAGAGGTGTTAAAGAGATCCCAATTTCATTTCACAATGAGAAGAAAGGTCTTCACCAAAACGTCGACAATGTAAATGGTACCATTTGCTACCATTGCTAAGTATGTTCATCCAATTAATATGTCGGACAAAAAAGGGGGGACGGTACGAAGATCAACTTGAAACCTTAATAAATGTCGACTTGACATAAGATGGATACAAAGAACCCATCACTATACCGTTGTCTGCATATTGTTAATTATGAAACGTATAACTTTCGAGCAGAGATTTTCGGTCTGCGTAAATGTGGAGGAATGCAGTAAGCGAATACTTCTTCCAGAGATCACCATACATGGTCTTCTTCAGCTATGAGCTATTGTTTAAACAAAAGTACTGACCGAGAATACAATCGGAAACATACTGATACATTCTGCTGTCTCTGATAAAGTGAGCAAGTATTCGTTGTAAATCCGTATTCGTTAGACCAGACTTTACCATGTATCAAGTTTATTACATGGTACTTTGATTGCCTCTTACCGTTTAGATTATCGGTCATAAAAGTTTGCCCTGTGTGCTTTTAACAATGCCACAGATACAAAACTATTATACAGTCTCTAAACCCAAAGTCTCCGCTGGTTCTGTACAACAGAATTCTCTAATATTGTTTTCCTTGGTCGTACACTTGATTCTATTATTGCTAATAAACAAACACATCTGCTGTGATGCCGATGTAACCAACAAAACGTTTCAAGGATATTAATTTACGAAATCCGGCCTTTTGTCAACTAAGGATGGGACAAATCTCGTTATGAGTTCTCCTTGGTAGGCTACTCAGAGTTCTAGTTCTGCTCTGTTAACAATGTTTCAGACCTTATCTTTTCCGATTCACCAATAAGTTGAAATTCTCCCCCCAGTTTACGTTTCAAAGGAACTCTTGTTTTTCGAACGCAAGTAATTGCTTTAGTCATTAATATTGATGATATCCGTTTGCTGTGCTAAATGTAGTACAGTTTCAACTGAAACCCAAGAATGTAATCGAGTGTATTCAATTGACTTTGAATCAACTTTAATGAGTGCCGATTAATTGCAAAGAAAGTGTGCTGCCAAAGAGAAGCGTGTACAAAACCGCTTTAGTTATCATTCTTTGATGATGTAAATATCAGATTTGGACAGTTTTTTCTTTTGACCTCATCAGCTTATGCCATTGTCAAAGTATTTTCTCCTAACTAAATTTAGTATGGAAATTTTTTTTGAAAAAGAGCAAGAACTTTTATTGTCAAGCATCATCTATTTTTTTGCACAAATGTAGGTTCGAAACCACTGTACATCATAGATAAGCTCGATAGAATCAACTACAGTCAAGACTCGATATAGTCAAGTCGACGGGACGGGGGTTTTTCTTGACTATATCGAATCTTTACTATATCAAATATTCTCGTTATAGTAAAGTTTATATATACGTGGCACAAATCTTTACTATATCGCGACTGGCCAGTCTTGTGGTAGCATAATAATAAATGGCTCAAACGTTATTTTTTGACTGAAAGATTCAATTGTGCTGAACGAATGTTCAAATCTTTTATATCGAGAGCTTTTGCAAGTTTTTTTGCTTTTCCTTGTATTATTTCACCTGTAATTGTCAGCGATGCTGCAACAGCTCGAGATATCCAAAGAGCAACAGCCTCCTCTAACAGAGGATGCTTCCCAGGTCTTTGTCGCTTCATGATAGCCTTATTAGTATTTGGATCAAGTGATAACCATCTTACCTTATCACGCACAATCTTTGAAACGGTTGCCTCGGAAACATCAAATTGCTTTGCTAGTGTAATTTGGCTAACACCTCGCTCTTTTAAACGACATATTTCAGCTTTCTGAACTTCAGACAAACCTCTTCTCCCTGAACTGCCTTTTTCTTTCTCTCTGTAGGGTCTCTGTTTTAGCTTCATGCTGTTAAAATTCTCAAAATTCTCTCACTTTTATTTACCACGTGTTTGTATTATTATTGGTCAAAATCCATCAAGTGGTACAATCTTCATTATATCGAGAGACAATTTGTTTGAGAGAAACTTGACTATAACGCGAAATTTACTACGGTATATCGAGTCTTGACTATATCGAGTCTTGACTGTACTTACAAAATATTATCTTACAGTACCAGCAATAATGATTATAGTGACATTGCTTATATCTGTGTTGAATGCAAAAAGGATCTTGATGATGATACTCTACCACATTGTAATGATTGTGGTCGAGCTATGAGAAATAGAATAGATTGCTTCTGTGATTTAAGGAAAGATGAG